ACACTGTCACCGCTACTTTTTAATCTATACATCGAAGACGCCATCAACATCATTAAAGACAGTACAACTGTAGGGATAGATGTGCAAGGGCAAAAGATTAGTATGCTTAGATTTGCAGATGATATAGCAGTATTAGCATCTAGCAAGGAGAACCTAGAGATAGCTTTAAATAAAATGGAAGCGGTACTGACAGATCAGTACTGTATGAAAATAAATAAAAGTAAAACAAAAGTACTGGTATACGAGGGAAGAAAAAGTAAGGAAAGAGCGAATATAATGATAGGAAACGAAAAATTAGAAGAAGGTATCTAGGGAGTCAGATTAGTCAGGACGGAAGGAGTAGTAGGGATATATAGCAGAAGATAGCGCAGAGTCGAGTCGCCTTCAATAAAAAGAAGTCACTTCTATGCTCGTGAACGGTTAATTTAGAAATTCGAAAAAGGTTGTTAAAGGTGTATGTTTGGAGCACGGCGCTGTACGGGTGCGAAACATGGACAGTGGGCGCGGCGGAAAAGAGAAGATTAAAAGCGTTCGAAATGTGATGTGACAGGCGAATGATGAGGATACCGTGGATAGAGAAGGTTACAAATGAAGAGGTATTAGAAAGAATAGAAGAACAGAGGACTCTATGGAAGTCAATAAGAAATAGGCGAGATAACTTGGAAAGGACACCTTCTCAGGCATGAAGGTATAGTCAGAGACATATTGGAGGCAGAAACGAGAGTTAAGAGGAGTAGAGGGAGACGTAGATTAGATTACTACTCGCTAATAGTTAAGGATATGGGTTGTTCTAGTTTTAGGGAAATGCGAAGATTAGCTCAGGATAGGAAAGAGTGAAGGTGCATGTCCAATCAGCCTTATAGGACTAACGACCTTATGATTATGATGATGAATGTCATCCACCAGAACTACATAAGCAAGTTCCTAGAATATTTTCAGAAAATTCTAAATCAAAACTAAAATCCTCATAGAATTATGGAGAGAGAGAGAGAGAGAAAGAGAGAAATATAAAGAAAGACAGATGAGATATGTAGTGCTTCAGCAGGAAAATTAATTAATTATTAGACCACGTGTGAGGGTACGGTGCACGTTAATGACCCAGGAGTGCAGCTGCTCCGTTTTGGTCTGCTCCTGCGGGAGACGGTGACCATATTATTCATATGCAGATCTAATATTCCCGGTACTGTTACTGGATACATTAAGGCTGGCGCAAACGCCCAACGTTGACTGCTTGCACACACACACATCGTGCAAAAGCTCGTAGCACGTGCTGCTCGAGATGTTTAATCGTGACAAACTTGCAGCCTATTGTGCGAAATTTAATAAGCGTATATTCATACATGAGGCGTCCGTACTTACTGCTCTGCATTGAGCTGAAGCAACTTAAGGTACCATTCAGATAGGGCGAACAAAAGCGAATGAAGCGAAACGAAAAAATGTTAGTTCGTACACTAGCTCTCTTTATACATACGAGGTCTGCTCAGAAACGATCACGAATTTTGTGCTTTTTCAAATACTATTTACTAGCGACCCGCCCCAGTTTCGCGCGGGTGCAATGCTGATATTAAATATGTATATTTTTGTTTTGTTTAGATTATTATCGAGAAGGGGAAATCTTCAAAAGATACCCCCTGAACATACTAAATATACTACAGAATGTCTTTATATACAACATTCACAGTTTTTTTGTCATCAGACAATACAAACCGGCCTCCCGGCCGGTACCGCCGCAACCGCTATGTCCCTGCATTTTAAATCTGTAATATCTTCGAAAATATTCATTTAAATTACATGCTGTAAAGGGCCATATT